AAATACAATGAGGTTCCAACTGTAATATTTATTGTTTATCTATTATTGGTTGGAAATTCATGTTTCACCCTGTACTTAAGCTTCTTAAAGGAACACCAAATTTATGTAAAAAAGTTAATTTCGAGGGGTAATGATAACATCGTTTACAGTAGAATTATGATTTTTTAAAATAATTACTAGTTAATAATACTTATAATAAAAGTGGATACTCCGTTTGAAACTATGTCACCTCAGTGAAATTGGTTGACACCATTGTTTTGGTTTTTTTAGTTATCATGTAATAAAAAAGAAGAACAAGAAATTCAAAGTTTTTGCTATAATATTTACAGACATTCCCAGAACTTGTGACTCAGTCATTACATAGATATTGTTATAAAAGGAATAGTAGTTCCTGCCCTACTAGTGTATCCTAGTAGTTTAATGGGTACCCACTACAAATACCCAGACCTGTAGTTCATTGTCTGTATTAATTGTTATTTATGTAATAAATGGATGAAATGTTGTTGTTTAGCTCGTAGCTTCACAATGGACTATCTGCACCTTTTCCACTGCAGGGAATCGAACCCTTTAAACTTAGGGCTGACCCACTGAGGGACGAATGGACGAATGACCATCTTCGCATATTTTGAATACTAAACCTGCACTCTATAGTTGAAAATATTTGTTGACATTTTATTGTGTATTTTTCGTTATCTTTATGTAAATTTGTCAACCAAACAGCTTTACATAATATGGAATGTATTTTTAGGGCTTCTGCCCTAACGTTTCATGCTCCACGCAGGTCTTTCATCCCGTTCCAAAACTACGTAAAAAAGCAGGAGGATACCCCAAAAATATGTGTTGAATACACTGCCTATAATCTGTATGTTAGTCTGTTTATCTACATAATTATCTCTCCGCTATTCTTTCTGGCTATAGAAAAAGATACTTTTACATATCTATTTACAGAGCTGTATCTAACCTACATACGATATTCGGCTTATTTCGTTGTTTCATATTATTCATAGCCCACTCTGTTATTTAACAAAAGCTGCTCTCTAGTTATGTTTGTTAATCTATTGACACATCAGTGGTGTAAACAGACGTGTTTGCTCGCGCAGACTCGAAAATGCATGTTTGCTAATAAAGACTCGAAGTTAGTGCCGGTCTCCAGAGATTTCTAGTAGATCCTGGTGACAGAAACTTTGGGAACTTGAAATCCTCATCATTATTAATGACGGAATTGAAAGAAAACTTTACGAGTAAGCTCAAGGAAATGTTTGCTATATTATTATCAACTTTAATTCTACTCAGTCAAAGGCGGATCCAGGATTTTATCCAGGAGCTTTCGATAAGGTTGGTTTAAACATATTCAGGGAAGCTGTACTCCGCAGACGCTGAAAGGGGGGGTGTCTTCGGCTGGCTCCCACCCTTCAATTCGTTTTATGCATTTAGAACCCCTAAAAGACAAACGGAAGCAAATTTTTTGATTAATTTAGACTGAAAATATTGCCCCCCAGTGGCACAGTCTACGGACTTACAACGCTAGAATCCGAGTTTCGATACCAGTGGTGGGCAGAGCAAAGATAGCCCATTGTTAGCTTTGTGCTTAATTACAAACAAACAAAACTGAAAATATTATCCATTTATGAACTACAGAAAATCATCTTGACTGTGTAATAGAATATACAAACTTCGATTTTCCTAATCATACTCGCAAAATCGGATACACTACTTGTTGATTAGCCTAGTTTTCGCTCTCAACCAATTACATTACGTTTTACATAATCATACTCGCAAAATCGGATACACTACTTGTTGATTAGCCTAGTTTTCGCTCTCAACCAATTACATTACGTTTTACATAATCATACTCGCAGAATCGGATACATTACTTGTTGATTAGCCTAGTTTTTCGCTCTCAACCAATTACATTACGTTTTACAATAACTGGAATCAGAAACATACGGTCGGAAATGACTGACATAAAACATAAATCTCATAACACTTTTTTATGCCGTCTGAATAAAATAGATATAATTTATACCATTTTTTCTTAATGATTTAGCTCTTATTTTTATAACATAATTTGTCTGCTAATGTCAGTGTTTATTTCATTTTTTTACAAATCATTCACAAAGAAATAATAATGTTATATCTATTACATATCATACAAACTCTTCACTTTGTTTGTCCTCTAGGCGTTCCTAATTTGGAAGTGATAGACTAGAGGAAAGGCAGCTGGTCAACACCACCTACAGATCGAATAGTGAGATTTGACCGTCACTCTTATAACGCACCAATGGCTCCAAAATGCGGAGCGCGAATTTTTATTATTTTTATTTTTTGGTGGTAACGAGACGCGAACCACGGAATCTCATCTCCACTGTCCGTCCGACACACGCCAAAAACTATTTGAAAGAAAAAAATTTGAAGGAAGCTTTCTTTGAGTCGTTATTGATTTTTTTAACCCTTAATATCGTAGCACATTTTGCCTGAAAATAAGTTATAATCTTTCTTACCCTGGATTTTGTGCAATATAAAGAAAACCTCATTGAAAATTGAGTCGTAAAAAATTAGAAAGACGGAGTGTTAGGAAATGTATGGCAATAAATGAAGTCGATATTTATAGGTTGAGAGTGGGATGAATGGGAGATGAAAGAGGTGCATAAACAAATCATAGTGGTATAAATTATCGCTAAAGAAAATGAGTAAAACTATTGCGACAGAAATTATAAAAATAAATCGACGATACTTAAAAATTAACAAGTTACCACAGAAGATAGTAAACCTGGCAACAAAAATGAGCAATTGATTGCATTGTTAAACAAATGTAAATATATATATTAATAAACCTTTTTAAATTAAAGCTGAAGATAAACATTAACATTCCATTGTTAAACTTATGCGTTAACTAGGAAAGAATATGGGGGAAAATGCATTAACGTAACTTTAATTATTATATGGGCTTTTCTCCGACTATTATTATTGCGTGTTTAAACATAAATGTTTTTATGATTCTCTATTAAAAACAGAAGAAAATTTAACACCAACCATACCGACGAAGGTTCTGGTAGATATCGTTATAATTTATGTTTCTGCATTAAAACACCTAGCGGCAGGTTCGATTTTAACCACTTAGATAGCCCGAGTTAAATCCTTGCAAGGCACATGGGGCTGGTGTTTCCGAATTCCGGTTTCAAGTGTCAAAAGCTCATCCCATCCATTATCTCCTGGACGGGATTCCAGCTGGTATCCATCATACACCCTAGGTTGAGTAGAACAAGTTTAGTTAAATTGTCTTGTTCAGATACACAACAATATGACGCGGAGTAGCCTCGAATTTGCAACCATCCTAGTACGAGTTCAAAACCGCAAATCCAAAGCTAGAAATATTTGTGATTGGTGTACTCCTAGGAATAAAACGAGAGTATATATTGATTTTGCCCTTGATTCGCTTGATCACTGTTTTTTTTTTTAAAGAATAATTGTTTTCTTTGCTATCCTTAAAGCTTTTACATCTTTTGTTTCAAAACAGTAAAATTAGGATGTAAGTTGACAGATATAAACGATGAATGTATATAAGCCTAATTTATCAATAAATATATTTTTAAGTATTCTGAAATATAGACTCTATAAACAACGAAAAGAAACTTTTACTTATACAAAATCAAATGTCTCTTGCACGTTATTAACAAGATACAGGTTTCAGAGTACTTAATGAGCCAGAAAATATTTCTTGTGGCTTATTAACTTTATATTATGTACTTGTCCAGTATTTATAATCAACGCTATGGAATAATTAACAAACTAAGTAAACATAGGATAATATATATAGAACAATAATGTTAGGCTTGACAAGCTAACATGTCGGGATGTGTATCAAAAGGTCCTGGTTCGAGACTTGATGCCGTTTAACACATTCCACACTTTCAGGTATGCATGCGTTATAGAAGAACCCGTCATTCTCATTATTCAGTTCATAACCAACGTGCACAGATGCTGCTGAGAGCCCAGCAGTGGCATAGCGGCATGTCTGCGGACTTACAACACTAGACACCGAGTTTCGATAGCCTTAACTTCAAACAAACAAATGATGCTAAGATTGAAAATTCCAATATCTTAGTAAGGATTAGTGTATAAGTATGAAGCTAATGAAGCACGTAGCAATCTTTCCAGGACTATTCTTCAATAACTAGCATGATTGTAATTCAATACGTAAAACAGACAGTTCTTGTGCAAAAAAATTTAAATAAAAATTAATAAAACGATACATTAACGTTTTTTACTTGCACAATAATGTATTCATAACGTTTAAAAAATATAAGTTAAAAAAACTTTAAAACTTTACGTTTTGGTGGAAATAATCCCGCCATCTCCAAGAGAATAAACCTTGTTTGTTTGTTTGTAATTAAGCACAATGGACTATCTGTGTTCTGTCCACCACGGGTATCGAAACTCGGATTCTAACGTTGTAAGCCCGCAGACATACCGCTGTGCTACTAGGGGGCATGAAATACACCTGAAGTTTCTTATAAAACGATGTATGTGTATAATTAACATGTTTTTACATTGACGCCATTACAACAACGATTTCCAGAAATGTACTTCCATAGCTCCTAGGCCTAAATCTCTATTTATATTCATTTTGTTTTTAACAATTTCTAAGGATTCTCTTATGTTTAGTTCATGTTCTTCCTTTACCTGTTTAAGTATTGTAGTTGTTGTATTTAGAGTGTTACACATGTTTATATAAAGTGAAGGTAGCTAGAAAAGAGCACTCACCGCCAACTCTTGGCTGCTATCGTTCGATAGAATAGCGGGAATGACTGTTGGCCTTTGCTCTTATAGCGCTTTCACGAACCTAATGTGTGGAGCTCATTTTTGCGGCAATGGGACGCGAAAATCGAGTCCTTATATTCATAGTCGGAGTACGCTAATCACTAGGCCACTCTCAGCCTATTCAGCACAATGTACTGAATTAATATATCTTATTATCATGGTATTTAATTAATATTAGAAACATTTTAAACCTAAATATGTAAAATACAAGATGCTTTGCAACAACTTTTATCGATATCTGATCTCTAAAGTGAAACGTTATATGATTGGACTACTTGAAACAGATACAGCCATCTTTGTATGTTACATAAAACATTAGCTTTGGGCTTCGGTATCAAAGATATTATCATTTTTATGGAAACATTATTTAAATAATCATCATCTTAAATCACTATGGCTACTTTATAACTGTCACTTTACTTTGATATCAAGCCCTTTATAGTTTCTTACAATGATTTTTTTTCATACGATAATCATAGTGTTCTACGACATTATTCTACCACGGAACAGTAAATAGAGGTTGGTGTGCTGTGTTTGTGTGTGTTGATGAACAGTAAACAGAGGTTGGTGTGCTGTGTTTGTGTGTGTTGATGAACAGTAAACAGAGGTTGGTGTGTGTTGATGAACAGTAAACAGAGGTTGGTGTGCTGTGTTTGCGTGTGTTGATGAACAGTAAACACAAACACAGCACACCAACCTCTGTTTACTGTTCATCAACACACACAAACACAGCACACCAACCTCTGTGTGTTGATAAACAGTAAACAGAGGTTGGTATGCTGTGTTTGTGTGTGTTGATGAACAGTAAACAGAGGTTGGTGTGCTGTGTTTGTGTATTCTAAATCGCATGTAACTTCAGACACCTTGTTTACCTATGAATTCTATAGTAAATATACGAAGTTATATACAACAATTTACCGTCTGCCTTTGTATGCTTCAGTAACAATACTGTGAAGTATGTAACACTTTAAATTAGTGTGGTATGATAACGATACAGATGAGTACGTAACACTTCTCACTTGTATGGTGTAATAACGATACGGATGAGTACGTAACACTTCACACTTGTGTGGTATAATAACGATACGGATGGGTACGTAACACTTCACACTAGTGTGGTATAGTAACGATACGGATGGGTACGTAACACTTCACACATGCGTGGTATAATAACGATACGGATGGGTACGTAACACTTCTCACATGTGTGGTATAATAACGGTACGGATGAGTATGTAATATTTCATATTTGTGCGGGTATCTACCCTTTGTATGACAGTCTTGCTAGTATTTATGTGATGATTTAGCAAAATAATGAGCAACTTACATCCCACCTCCCGTTTTAGAACACACACAAAAGTAATTGTTACAAAAAAAAACGTTCGAGCAGCTATTAGACAAGTGAAACGGCCGTAACAACAAAAGTATTCCGCGAAACTAATAGAACTGGAAAGTACCAGTGCGGCAAAATTCAAAATACGCTTTCATTTGCAATCAGCAAAATAATGGCTCAAAGTAAAGGAAACAGTAGAAAAAAAGCATCATTTATATAAAAAGATTACTTACTTTCTTCATGAAAATAAATGATAATATCTTAGATTGTGTTATTTCAGGCCAGGTAACGGTATTGATGAAAAATTTGATCGGTACGACATTATATATTTATATTTATATAAATATAAATTGTAGAGACTAATAGTTGTGGAATAGTTCTCTAGTAGACACTGTAGGTCATTCCAGCTTCTGTGCCATGTAAGGAAAGGCTTAAGTCTATAAGAACATTTCATTACTGGATATATAGTAGAATAGCGTGAGGAACTGTAACAAAGTTTAAAACAACTGTAGAAGTAAACTTTTACACAGAAATCAATAGCAACCACTAATCTAGGCTTAACTTAGAGTTCAAGTGGAACAACCAACAACGTTTTTACTGCTGATTGAGTAAGATGTACTTAAGACTTACAAAAAATCTAGGCGCGTTTTCATTACTCCCAACTCTCGTTAGGGTTCAGTAAAGTTAAACGTTATTATTTTTATACGTTATATAGATCTGGTACTTGACAAAAAAAGAACAAAAAACAGTTAAAAACTGTGATATTTTCTGGATGAATAATAACTCCACCACCTCAAACTTTACTGCTTTGAGTTCTGATACCTCAATATATAGCGTAAACCTTGAAAGTAAAAATGTTTTCATCCTTTATGAGGTTTTATGATTGAGAAATTTCATTTATTAAAAACGACAAGGGCACTTGTGAATAACAGGGGAGAATTAAAGAGAACCTTCCATGTTATTCTTTGTGTTAGAATTTAAATGTTACCAAATTCAACAGTTTACGGCGTTCATGTATCTGTAGCTCAAATATGAATTGCTATGTAAAATTCGATAGAACACAACTAATTTACAACCTATTAAGGTATGCGTTTTTTCTCAACTATTGATCTCTTAAAGTGACAGTTTGTTGACTAAAACAATTAGGAAATGATAACGTTACACTAAATGGGATGCTAGTTAATTCTGTTTTTTTACCGAAATGAGCGCTTTTGTCTAGGGGTCACTATCAAATTTGATGTTATATATTATTCAAAGACATTATGGTGTCAAAATAAATCCTTTGTAGACATAACCGTCATACTTTAAATGTTTAATTTTACAAGCTACAGAATGGAAAGAAATATGAAAAAGTGTATTACTTATGACTTGAAAAATTGCTATTCATACAAAATAATTACATTATACAGGATTCGACTTATTCTGAAACAGAAACATATTTTAAACACCTTTATGTACTAAAATGTAAACATAAAAATGATAATTTGAGGCTTACCATCCATACCATAAGGATATTCATACACAGCATCTCCCTGACTCTAACATCTTTAATAAATCTTTACGAATGTTGTGCCTCAAACCACCACTAGTCTATTGTGACTTTTAAAAAAAAATTAGCAATTAAAGTAGATAAAGCATTAAGTCATGTGTCATATCCTTTATTTGCAGGTTTGTGCGAAAAACCATTTAAGCCCCTTAGGTCGCAAATTTTATATTTTATATTAAAGTTAAATACCAACAAACCCTAATTTAAATGTGGTTAAAAATATTTTAAATATGTATTTATTTGAATTCACGGATCAAGGCGATAGTAATTAGCGTCATATATACTCATTTTTATGCATTTTAGAATTTTGACATATAAATAGACAAAAATACAAAACCTTATAATTCCAACGCTTTCGCAAGTTGGACCTTTCTTCATCAGGGACAAACTGGGACATTTCCAGTTGGTCCCTATTGAAGAAACGTCCACCTTGCAAAAGCATTCGTATTATGAGGTTTCTTACTTTTGTCTTTAATTAAGTTTTTGAGCCTACTTGTTTTCCTAATATATATCTATACTAAATACAAAAAAATAGAAATAAGACTCATTTTATTCGTGATATATATATGTGATAAAAGCTATTCTTGAGAGAAATTGTGTAGCATATCGTCAGATTATAGTTTGTTTTTGAAATGTTCACTATTTTCATCTTGTTTCTACTTGAAGTAATAATTTGTTCTTTAAACTTTACGTTGCCAAATTATACCAATCAAATAACTTCATTTGTCCTCAAAACTAGAAAATATAAGAATAATCATAGACAATATCTCCTCCTTCTTTGTATCGAAGCCCGATATTTATCATTATAAGCCTTCAGACTATGTATAAATAAACGTAAAAGCCAAAACAGTATTTTCTTTAATATCTTCTGTTCTAACAGGTAATCTATTAATTTTGTCTAATTTGATATGATTTGTACAAGCTGATGTGAATAACTATTTTCATTCCGATAAGTAATAATTGTTAATGCTTTTGAGCAGAAAATATGTTCATTATTAACTAAAAGAGGCCGCCACCTGTGAGCTATTTCTCTTAATTCACCTGTTCTCTCAACTATATTACTATGCGAGCAACCACCTGAGTGCAGCCTGTAAAAGTGTTTTCTTTACTAGTTGATGTTGTACCGAGAGAGAGTAAACATTTATAGGTTAGATGGTGGTATTAGTTTTTTATCTGAATTATAAAGTTTAACGTTTTCCCAAATTAACAGACACCGAATTACTTTGAACATTTGGAAAATGTATAAATACCGCCACAGATTTTCTCTTATCTACGGATAAAACATTGTAGGTATGTTGACGGCTATGTTTCGTAAAGGAACATGATTAGAGAGCTTTCATAACAGACGTAACGCATGAAGGTATTTAAGACGGACACACTAATCCCCCTTTTTCTTCACGTGCTCTGTTTCCTTCTAATTTGGCCATCCATCGTTGGTCAGTATAATGCGGTGGTTCTCCACTACGACAGTACGTGTTCTGGCAATATCTCTGTTCTGGACCAAGTTATAGCCAGAGTTATGAGACAGCCAGAATTGAAGTTGGCTGCTAAAGTGACCAATGTGAAACTTAGCATTCGTTTGCCACTTCCAGGGTGTCTTAGCGGTTCTCTTTATCCATACGTTGAGGCTTTGAACGAGCCAAATGTCCAAGCAGTGGTAGGAGCTGTGGCTGACCATCTCTGTGAGGCCGCTGCCATATTGGCAAATGTCCACGGGAAGCTGTATGTGTCAGGGAGTTGTACAGCATCTTCACTGTCAGATAAGTCAATTTATCCGACATTTGCCCGCACTGTGCCCTCAGCTGATGCCACTGCCACGGCTCTGGCGGCCTTAGTAGCCACTCTCCGTTGGAAATACTCCGTGTTGTTGGTGGTAAATAATGAAAGTTGGCGACGGCTGGCCCAAAAACTGGACTCAGCCATCAGAGGTCAAGGATACGTCGTCCGTGATTTCATCCTTATACATAGTAAAGCGACAGTGGAGGAGATCAAGAACTTGCTATCGACTGTGAAAGCACCTGTTAAAGGTACAGAAGCATAATAACATGAAAGTTATTGAATAAAGTTTATAAGTGAGCAGTATTTAAATATATTTGATACTATCTAACTAGAACTATATATATGTTTTATCAGTATCTGACATATTGTTTACATTTTTATGTTGCATTAATTATGACCAATGTAGAACGTGCTATTTCAGAAAAAAACTGATCAAAACGTTGAAAAGTTTAGCTAAGTTTAGACAAAAACTCTTTCAAATGTTTTGATTGAGATCTAAATTACGAAAAATGGAAAAAGTTTAATTACAGTTCGGAATAAATGTTCAAAGGACTTTGAGTAGATATATTAAGAAAAATACATAGAGTAAAAGTTGAGTTACATACAAAGTATCCGGAAATTATATTAACAAAGTATTCACGTAAATGAGTAAATTTGTTAATTTAGTTTCTGGGCATTATATACTGATAAACATTCAATGAAACTAACTTTAATCAATACACAAATATTGACATATGTAAGCTATGTCTTGAAATAAAATATTTAAAAATAATGTAACTACATTAATAAACGAGATTAGGTTGTATATGTCAGGTTGATTGACAGATACACTTACAAATAATTTTGCTGTATTTGCAGATAACTACACCAGGAAATTCAGGTAGGTTTAACACCGCAAATTTCGTTTGAAGTTAAGCACAAAGGACTCTCTGTGTTGTGTCCACCACGGGTGTCGAAATCCGGTTTCTAGCATAATAAGTCCGCAGACTCGTCGCTGTACCATTGAGAAAGGGGGTCCAAATAATATATGATATATGATAGACGTTATCATAAAATTAAATAAGGGTTAATCCGTGTTTATCGAAAAGCTTCAAATGTAAAAAAGACTATCAGTAAACTTAAAGACAAGTAATAATTAGAACATGATTTATTTTTACTCTTTGTAGTGTAATCTAGATTTAAGAAATCAATAATTTTTGCATTCACTTTAACTTCAACTTTCTAAAATATAAAACAGAAGAAAATGCTTGAAAAGAGTGAAGTTTTTAGAAAATAAATCAAACTGTACGGGTCTTTCTGATTCTGTTTCAAATG